GCTCTCCATCTTCATGCCCTCTGCCAGCGACACCTGGTACTTGACGCTGTCCTTGTCCTCCCCCCGGGCTCCGCCAGCCCCCGCAGAGGACGAGGCTGGGGAAGCGGCCCCGGTGGTGCTGGGGTCAGGAGACACTTCTTTGGGGGGCGGGGGGGGAAAACCAAAGAGGTGCGAGCCAGAGTGGGCTGGGGCGGGGGTGAGAGAGGACACAGAGCTGCCACTGCCTCCCCCGCCCCCGCCCCCGGCCCCTGGGTACACAGAGAGTGGGCCAGGGCCCCCGGTGGAGGGGTGCAGCGGCGTCTTGGAGAAGGGGCCAACGGTCCAGGGGTTGTGGTGGTGGGCAGCTGCAGAAAGGGCTGCCTTGCCCCCGTCCAGCCAGGGCAGACCGGGGCTGTGCAGCAGGTGAGGACGGCACACCTGGCCTCCCGTCAGGCGGGCTGCGGGCAGGGAGAGGTGGGAACGGTCAGCACCACAGCGACCAGCAGGGCCCAACACAAGCAACACAGCCCTGACTGGGAATGCAGCTCCACTGAAGGGCAAGTGGCCAGGAGGCACCCCCGGGACTGGCCCGAAGTTCTAGGCCTGCTCTGTGTCCTAGCCCCCCGCCCCAAGAGGCAACTGCCCCTCCCGCCCCCTAGCTCGGCTGCCTCGCTGCCGGGTCTTGCGGATCGACAACGCGGGCCCGCGCGTGGGCCGGGTTGGCGTAGTAGGGATTGCCCTGCGAGTCGAGGTGGTTGAAGAAGACGTCCACCTCGTCCGGAGGCAGCAGCTGCGCGGGTTCCATGTAGCTGTGCGCCAGCCCGGGCGGGTGCGAGTCGGGGTGCTGCGCGTTCAGCACGGCTGGGTGGGCCATCCAGCGGGCCTGCTCAGGCGCCACCTCCATGGCCGGCGGCTGGGGGGCCGGCGGAGGCTGCGGCGGCCCTGTGGGACGAAGGGCAGTGAGGGGCGCCACCAGCCCTTGTCACCCTCGCCCCCTCCCAACGCGTCCCCGCGGCACCGCGCCCCAGCCAGCCTGCCATAGACCAGACCCGAAAGGGTGGCGGGGAGAGTGCAGTCACGTACACTCACGTGGGGACCCACGACCCCAGCGCCGTTCGCCGACACACGGGGTCACACGCGGGGACGGGCCGTCACATGGTGACCCCAACAAGCGCACAGAGTGGTTCCCAGGGAGGTACTTGCGCTAAGCGTCCCGCTCGCCGCACACGACGCAGCCCAAAAGTTGGAGACGGACGCCCAGAACCCGCTGGGCACATGGGCCCCGCGAGAGCACACCGCACTTGGTGCACACTGGCCTCGACCCCCCAGATGCAGCCCAGGGCTGAGAGGGAGCCCCTGAGCGCACTCCTCCGCGGCGCGGCACGGACCTGCCCCCAAGTCGCGCCGAAGCAGCCACAGGCAGCCTGGCCCGGGCCGCAGGGACCGCTCAGAGCTGGAAGGGCCCGGACTCCCAGTCGCTCTCGCACCCCAAACTTACACACGCAGCGCTGCGGGGAGGGGAAGGACGCGGCAGAGAGTTGGGGAGCACTGGCGGGAGCTCAGGGGGCCCCGGCCG